TCGGGAATTACTTTTCACAAATAAGAAGTTACTCTATATGGTTTGTAGTACATAGTAACATTTGAAGATAGTGGTTCATTTTCGTGATTTTTCCCTTCTTATCCAAAAAGGAGAGTCCTGTGGATTACAGCTGTGCGGAAAGACAATTGGCAGACTAGTGCATAAGACCCGTTTTCACGGTGGCATAAGTCATGACATATGCCACGACACTTGACAAGCACAACTAGTAAATTCGAGTCTTTTCTTGGAAGTCGAGACTGCGCATTTTCATGTGGGCATCTATGTAAGGTATGTTCCACTACCTTTAGTCACGTGACACCGAAATTGACGTGCCAGTTTCGGTTTCAATATAGCATCATGAAACTCTTCTATCAACAATTGCAATAAAATTATATTCAACTAAAGGCAAAATAATTATAGTAAAAAAAGGATATTTGAGATATGTGATGAGAATTCTTCAGTGGCTAAACTTTGAAATAGGCCTTCTTGAGAAGAAAAAAACAACAATCTTGTTATCATGGAACACTTTCTTCGTAATGACCAAGGCTAAATTGAGTGAACCCCATGCTAGGGTAGCCTGTGATTGGGACGTAATCAGACCAATTACATCCTTATAAAATTTCATGGAATGACTTAATAAAAAAAACTATTTATTCATGGTCCTTTGACTGTGGGGGTTCAATTTTAACCAGTATCAATTATGACATGACACTCGCAACATGTAAATTAGTTTCAGTGAGAGTGTTAAGTTACCTTACAATTTATTACTTTGGTTTTCACTTCCGAGCTTTAGTTGTTTAAAATTCACGAGGGAAGGAATAAGTTATCTAAATATCTGCCGGAGGTCTAACTTTAGTTTGGCCCGGCCCGCAGGCCTGCCCGCATGCGCTCGCAGTGGAAGTCATGCCCTGGCCCTGCTTGGAGCTCACAGAGCCGTTCGTATCGTGCACGCTAGCAGACTGAAATGCTTACAAATTCTACTGCGAGGTATCTCTGCTATCGCAAAAGCTACGCGAGGAATCAAGCAATGCTTGATTAAAAGTCGCGATCGTGAGACATCTAGCGGCACGACCGCGCAACACGTGAAAAGTCGTGACTTTCTGCCGCCGTGAAAACAGGCCTTTACAGCAATTTATGCTCGATTCGTTCTAAAGAACAGGAATGAAAATGAAATAAAATATTCCAAGTTTTAAAATTGACTAAAATAAAATAATGTTATTTTTTTATCACACATTTTAAACATACATTGAAAATCTAAACGAAATTTGAAAATGTATATTGGCTGAATATAATTACCATGCAAATGTGAATTTATCGATGATACATTAACTCGGTAATATTTTGTTTACAATGCAATTAACGTTTCATATTCTTATTTATGTAAATAAATTTAAAAACAAAGTAATGTTACACGCTCGTAAATATGAAGACAATCGTCCAATGAAATGCTTTTGAGTTGATTTTTACTATTGTTTCTCCTACGAAATATTTGTACACATTTTTACTTCATAAGCTGATTTTGTATTTCCTAAACTTAAAAAGCAAAGCTCACTCTGAAGTTTTCTGATGTCATTATCATCAGTAACAAAAAAATCAGTGCGCATCTTATTGTCGATCGAAGTCGTGAATTTTTAAGGACGAAAAAATCCATCGCACGCCTCCCTTCGGAGGGGAAGTAAAGCCGGCTGCCCCATGTTAGTAGGTTTACTGCATGTAAAAGATCCTCAAGATTAATGACGTCTCTGAGATAAATTCAAATCACCTGTTTCGTTGCCCAAGAAATACCACCTTTCTTCGCTAGTAGGTGAAAGGAGCGTCAATTGAAAATTCAATTGTCGCTTCATCAGCAAGAGAAGGTGAGAATAGGCCTGATGGTAAGCGGCACTAATAGAATATTGCGCGCGAAATTCAAATTCAAAATTACTTCTTACATTATTTTATGTTGGAAACATGATAACTCAAATACTAACAATAATTCAAAATCAACATCTGTATATTACCTGAATTTTTGATTATATTTAAGTACTTAAATTTAATTTATATTTAATTCATAAAAAAATAATATTGAATTATTGAAGTTAAAATATTAATGTATTGAATTCATATTTGAAAGAAAATAACATGCAACAACTTTGTTTGATTATTTGATATCATCTGCGGAGTCCCTTGATAAGGGGGCGCGAGGGATGAACTTCTTTAGCCTGTGCCCAAAGACGCCACTGACTATTCGAATCTGAACGATTTCCATCTCCTCGGCTATCTTATAAAAATGAATTTTGGAGCAAAGGTGAAGAGTAATAAGACCATGGAGAAAATGAATATTTCTTCAGCTTCCATATCGGTTTATTGCTGACCCAATGTAATATCTCAGAGGTATAGATTACAATAAATCGTTGCGTATTCAATGTAGTTCATGATTCCAGAACAATGTTTTGTTAAACTGAACTTAATTTACATTTCCTACGTACTTTACATTTGATGATAAGTGACAAAACCTACTTGAGAAAATCAATATAAGTATTTGCTACAAATGTACTTTTTTGTACTTTTTATTGTCATTTATGTTGCACACTCTTAGCCATCTCGGCCACCCAGGTCGGCAGGAAAATAATAAATCTAAATAATAATATTTTAAGGAAGATTCTTATCAGAATCAGTCAAGAAACTGCATCTAAGAATTGGCAAATGGCAATTGTATCTATCTAGGAAGCTATCCACACGGCCAGCAATTCAATTATTACATTGGTGATAAGTAGATGATGAATGCGTGTTGAAAAAGTAATGGACGTTCGTAATACTTGTTATTTGTTGGTTTTACCTACGGAAAATTCCACTCATGGTAATTTACAACCCCAGTTTAGACGTGGCATATCGCACACGTGTTCAACACGTAGCACGCTTTCTCTGCTGCCGGCCTTTCATATCTCCCATGCCCGTTCGATTCTTTACCCGGAATGCGAGGGCTTACGCGAGGACTCACCTGCCTCAACATTGTCATTAAACTTTTACGCAATGCTCGTACACGTCAGGTTCTGTAGTGTGTACAAAGCAGATAAATATGTAGAGCGATACTTAGAACGATGAGGCAATGTCACTGAGTGCCAGTTTAGTCTTAAATTGTCTGCGGTTTGAAAACGTACATCAGCTGAATGTTCAAAATCACAAGTATATTTCCTCATTAATTAATTTTAAAAGGTTCACAATATTCTATTTTTACTAAGTTTGTCATTCAGTTTCCTTTTGCTAGAAGAACTGCAGCAAATCTGAGGAAGGAAAACATATTTCTCTAAGCCATTTAATATTAAAGATATTTTTGCTGTACAATCATTCAGGGAACGTCATTTCAATTTAAAATCCACGGCCTCTCTACAAATCACTGTAATTTCATGTACAAAACCTATTTGTTGTTTTACTCATATTTCTGATTACATTTCGCACCGTTCATTCAACAGAAGAGGAATCTTGAAATCAGCGACATGTACGCCGTCTGAAATTTCGAAAGTGGTAAATTTGAAAACTATACAATTATTGCCAGAAAAACCCGAAGAAGTGTTTTGAACAATTTTATACGTTATTTATGAAGTGGAGAACGACTAATAGGGTAAATTATTTTAGCGAGAACGCTTTCTTAGCCTATTTTACAAACCTTTCTCAGTAGTTTAAACCCTCTAGTTTAAGACCGTTTTACTCCATGATAAGAAGTACATACGTAATGATAATGCACAAACACAATGAAATAAAATTAGGAGCTTTCTCTAAATCCCAAAACTCAGTATTGAAAATTTATGTTGGATATTTCAAGTTAGTAGAGAAAGTATAGTCTTCTATTCACGCGTGAAGGCTATTATCAACTCGAACAAATAACGACATTCGCTCCTACGTCGCTCGTGTCATAAAAATCAACTCGTGAATAACAGCCATTTCATTCGCTCGTCGTATACTAAGCGTAAAGTTTAGTAATTAAACAAACTGCAAGACAATTGTAAAAGCGGGGTTGCGGGAGATTTTCTCGACGTTCTCAAGATTCCCCCGCTGCCATTCCACAACTTCACCTCTGCGTTTAGCTCACGAGCTGCGGCCGCGTTGCACTGAGCCTGAGCGGAGGTAGCAGGGTTCGAGTCCCGGAGGGGGCGGATTCGACATAGCTGAATAGCCAGGTCGAATTCGGTCGCTGTCTGGAGGAAAATTCTAACGGATGCTGCACTCAAAGGTAGTTTTCTGCGGTTTCTCCGAACAAAACCAGGCGAATGCCGGAGCAGTACCTTGACAAGCGGGCAACGCACCACGCGCGATCTTTCCTGTCTCTTACTTCGCTCATCCCCTCCCATTATACTCGACATTTCCACTTACAAGCGCCATCCTGCCGCACCTGTCGCGGACTATTCGGGAGCTCACAGCTTGTCCCGGCCGGAGGGGGGGGGGTGCTCCGCTTGGGGAGATACCTGCAGGGGCAATGATGAAGCCGACGTCGCAATCGGCACCAGATGCCATCCAACGAGGGGGAACACTCCTACCTCCCGTGACAAACCATTCACTACATTAACAGGACAAATTATCATAGCAGTTTACGTGCCAGGGCACATCGATTAGTCAATCAAGTGCAATTTCTCTATCATCATTCATATCATTACATAGTAAATATGGTAAATTAAAGGTGTTGTGTGGTATCAAAAATTTATTTTGCTAATGATCGTTTCGATCACGTAGCAATCATACTCAGAGCTTGCCGCTTCCGAAGTTCTGAACTTTGTTTTCGGCCCGCAAGCTGCCGGCTCTGAGGATGATTGCTACGCGACCGAAACGACCATTAGCAAAATAAAAATGTTTGATACCAGACAACTCCTTTAATTTGCCATATTTAATTATTAGCAAGTATCTACCCCACCAGCGATCTAATTAACATTACGTAGTAGTTGCCATTCGACCAAACTTGTTCGCCCCAGCTCCGAGCAGAAGGGCGAGGACCGGCGTGGCGCATGAGAAGGGGTTGTGCGTTGCAGATCAAGGTGCCCGCCGCCTGAGCGCCGGCGCGGCCGCTGTGTTGCAGGCGGGGGAGCAGGAAGGCGACTACGCGGGTGACGCCGTCGACGACGCGGCGCCCGGCCAGGACTGGCCCCGCCGCCACCACTCGCACCACAGCCACCACTGACGCGCGCCCGCGCCGACATGTAACTTGTATGTAGAGGAACGGGTTTTCCAATAAAGTATTGTTTGTGAGCAAATCACTCCGCCTTGTGTTTTGTTTCTCTGCTCACGACGTTATGGAATTCCTCACAGGACGATTCAATTCCTCATCAACAAGAGATTGCTGATTGCTGTAGACTAAAACGAACTAATCAATATTCCTCACGAAATACGCGGAAATAACCTTTGTACTTTTCGAAAATATTGCGGTGGTATTCTACTTTTGGAAAATGGGATGTGAATATGATTCTTCTGATAAAATGTCTTAAGAAATCCTCAGGTAACATTTGCATCAAGAACAGATCTTATACATTTTTGCAAATTAAGACAATTACAATTATTCTTTGATACATTAACTTGGAAATATTAGCATCTCTACATCTTTGTATTATTGACAAAACGAATTGTGATAAAATGTGTGTAATGAAGTTTGAAGGTTCAAATTTATGAACGTCCATTGATCATGTATTTTCTTAATTTCTTCCGCAGAATCCATATGGATTTTTAATTAGAAAATGAATGGAAATTACCAAAAAAAATTATTTTATTCATTCTGATATCAGTAATAGAACGAGTAATTTTTCACGATATTTCGTTTTACAATGGGCAAACAAACTACGTTATCACATTGAGGTGTAATTTTATTTGTTCTAAAGTTGCACAAACAAGTTGGATACATGTGTGGAGGAACTGAAAGTGACATCATGAGAGAGATACGCAAGAAGTCTGCAAGTCACACAAAAGTGTGACAAGATCACAATTAGAAATGAGTTTTTTTTAAAGAATATGTGCGTCTCGTTTTCAAAGTATATTTGCATTCAATTGATCCAAGTTCCATTCATCGCGACCCGAAAGCTATCTGTTTGAATCAGAACGTCTAAGACAATTTTTTGTATTTTTTCGGAAGAGAAAGGAAATACTGGGGGTTTATAAATCCCCTGGTATATAAATCCCACAGGCATATAAAATGCACAATCATTAATACACAATTAAGTGCCTAGAATTCAATTACAGTTTACCTAGTAAAAGTAGTTATTTACAAGAAGAAATTCACCACTGTACATCCAAGTTCATTAACGGAGCCCTGATTAACATAACAATGATCTCAAGGTGTTCTAAAGTTTTTCATGTGATGAACAAAGAAAACAAGGTTGGACACTTGCGCTTCTCTGTCATACTTTGCAAAAGGTTCTCATGTTTTCCTTTTTTTTGCAATCAAGCCATTCGGTGACCGACTAAGAAGGCGCAAGGTTTGGCCCCATTGCGCGGGGTCCAAGGTCGGTGGATGTAGTCCCATTTGCCTCTCAGGAATGTTTCCTTTGCGATAGGTAAATGTTGTAGCCAACGTTTTACAATTATAGCCGTTCCTCAAGCCACGCTTGTACCCCCGCCACATCCCGTTCCGAAGGGCAGTGACCTCAAGACCTCGAGGGGCAGGCGGGGGGCCCGCGGGGGAATCCTGCATCAAGTGCATTGCCGTGCGAGCGCCACGGAGGCAGTGCCTCGCTGCAGGAGCGCCCCGCGGGCCCGGAGCTCCGCAAACAGCCGCCCCCGCCGCCGCCGAGATGCGACTGTACGCGTGAGCGCGCAGCCGCCAGTGGCGCCATGGCGGCGGAGCAGCCCCAGCGCGTGCGGAGCGCAGCCCGACCGGCGGACGCGCAACCGCTGTCGCCCAGGGCCCTCGGCGCCCAAGAGGCGTTCGGCCGCGCCCCGGGGCCGGGGCTGGGGCCGGGGCTGGCGCCGGGGCTGGCGGGCAAGGGCGGCGACGAGGGCACGGACATCGAGGAGGCGCTGGCCCTCACAGGTGAGGCGGGCGCCCGCACATCGCTGCGTCGCGCACGTATCGCCTACTGCCAATTTTCAATTTTGCTTCAATTCGTAAACCTATCAAGGATTGTTTCAACAGACCTTCAAAAATACTGCTGTTAGAAAAGAGTACTTTCATGTGCTTCTTATCATTAAATGCGTTAATCTATTCCGATTTCGTAACGGAAGATTCTTCTTTGCTACGACCTTTCCACGCATCCAGTGAAGATTTACAATTTTTATAATGCGCGCTTCCTTTTAATATCTTTCATTGATTTCAACAAACAAAATTTTCCTCCTTGTCATGGACCTACAACTCTAGGAGGGTCTTTGCCTAATTAAAAATCTACCGCCACTCCTTGAGTTAAAGAGAAACAGTGATTTATATTTATATTTATTTAGTAAAACCACAAACAAAAAACAGTGAAAACTGTGTGACGTAAAGGGAAGAAGATCAGGCACGTTCTTGACTTCCAGAATCCCTGCCCATTATATAATTACAAATAGCTGAAGGATAAGTAAAAGTTAAAGATAAATACATAAAGACACAATTTAAAAAAAGCGTGACGTTAGCAACATTTGAAAAACTAAGCATTTTCGTTCCCGAGTTATAGAAAACTTATTTGCAACGGTAAACGAACTGTAGGTTTGATTTTTCTGCATTTCTTACATAATAATAACTCGCCCTTACCTCTACTCCTACCATTACAAGCAAAAGGAGAGTTCGACAAAACGTGCGCACAGTGAAGATACATTTACGTCTAGAAGAAAAACGTGGGGCCATCTCAGCATTTGCTCAATGGGTCAGGGAAACTGCACAAAAACCTGATCGAGATGGGGGACATTGACCCGGAAGCTGAAGTGCATTATTTGTTACAAGCATATTAAGTCTTTTTAAAATATGTTTACAATACAAATTTAAACTAATCCATTATGTATCAATGTATTGTTAAAATAAACATAATTTTTCTTTTTAATCAGCATAGTCTCTAATTGTACAGAAACAGTTATTGAGCAGAAAATATTTTACTTTTATCTTACATGTGTGTACAGACTTCATTTGTTTAGTGTCATCTGGCAATGCGTTTTAAAGTAACATACATGTTCTCTATGTGGATTTCTGATAGTGAGCAGTTGATACTGACACTTGATGAAAGTGATTTCTACGACGTGTGTTGTACTTACAAATATCAGTATTGCATGAAAATGTGTTCACATCGTTAAGTAAGTTCGACCAATATTACTCATTCGTAAATACAAAGGCAAGGCAATGGTAAGATTCTAAGCTCAGTGAAGAGAAGTTTGCAGGGATCACGCGAATGACATTTGTTCATTATTCGAATAATTTTCTTTTGCAATCTAAAGGTCTGAGTACTACATGATCAGCTTCCCTAGAATATTATGCCATATCTTAGGCGGGACTACACATCGGCAAAATACACGCTGCATGAAGGCTGACAGAATTTGAAAGAGTTTTGAATGCGTAACACAATGAACTTAATTTAGTGTTTAATTCTGTTATATGTACATTCCATTTGAGGTTTGACTGAATTGAGAGAGCTAGAAATTTTGTTACCTGAACATCAGCTAATTGCATATTGTTCATTTTCAATGGAGCATGCGATTGTTGATTTCAAATGCAAAAGCGCATTGAAACTGCATTTGCTTCGTTAACTATTAATTTGGTATTATGAAACCAATTTGAAACTTCCGAAATCGTACTATTTATTGTTCCTTTTTTGCAAATAACATTTGTGTCATCGGCAAACAGAGCCGTTCTTCCAGTTTTAATTGACGAGGGCATATCGTCTACGTATATCACAAAGATAAGAGGACCTAAGATCGAACCTTGCGACTCCCCGGTGGTAAAAAATCGGAAAGATAAGTAAATAATGTATTTTGGAGCCTATACGGTATTTCTACTCTTTGAGATCAAAAATAAATATTTTCCTCTTATTTATGGTCCATCTCATTCAGCAATCCACGGGGAGATGTGCTCCTACGCCAAGTCCACGTCATGGGCAGTGAGTTGTCACTCGACATCATCATTTCCGTTGTATTCCTCTTCCAAAGGGGTGTTGAAATGACCGCTATGCGTCTGTTACATCCACTAGTCTCAGAATGATTTTTTCTCCTACAGTTTGAGAGTACTGTGATTACTTTTGCACTGATGCATTGCAACTTTTGCAATGATAGCGATAACCCTACAACAAACACAAACCCGAAGGAATGTAAACGAATAAATTGTGCGTCGATTCTCTCACTCAAGGAGTCGAAAGGATTTGCAAGATCTATGGGTGAGAGGCTAGTTAACGACCCAGGTTTGAGAAGATAAAAGAGCAGCAACAAGAAAAATAGAATTTCGACTTTCATGATGACAGGTAAGAAGAAGTAAAGTCAATGAGAATTTGTTGAATCACATGATTATTACGGTGAAATCAAATTAAAATATCCGTTACTTTCAATTAAGAATTTTAATGGCATTAGCTGGACAGTGGGACAATAAACCAAATATACAAACTACAAAACACCAAAATTATGTAGCAATAGTGTACAGTGTGTGAATATATATATATATATATATATATATATATATATACATATACATACATATATATATATATATATATATACATATATATATACAAATATATACAAATATAATGTACATTTACATACATATATAAAGTGGCGTATACTGTGGGCTACTGGGGCTACCGGTGGTAACCTGAAGAAAATTGCGAGAACAAAAATCTCTCAGGATAAACTATATTAAAAATACTTAAAGATGGTATTCTTTTTTCAGTGACATTAATTTTTCAAAATTGCGAATAATCCGTTCTGCTGAGATCTGCATTGATTGCTCGCTCGTCCGCGCATCAGTCCTGTTAAGAAGTGGCAACACCGCAGAAACCGCTGGCACCCACTTGCTCTGCGTGCGCTCGATGCCCTATTCACTTCCCTCCTCCTGGGAAGATCTGGACCAGCGCAGGGCTCCGGTTGGCGACTTTCCGGGCGGTTTCTTGTCGCGCTCGGAGCAGTTCGGAGACAGTGGGCAGCGAACGAACAGAGCAAATTAGATGAGCGCTTTTGTACACGATATCCACGTTTGGTGGGGAGAGTACAACCACATAATAGATAATATGAAGCGTGTTTTAAATGTTACAATTGTAATCTATTAAGTATGTGATAGTGTCAAAGTTAACTATTGCAAATTGGTATTTTGAAAAAATGTCACAGTAAACTTCGAGATGTTCATCTGTCGACAATGCGTGTATTACGCAGCGTTTATTAGAGAAGCATTTTAACAAGAAATTGTAACACTGAATGTGATTCATGATATATTATATATAAATTGTATTATGTAAAATAGACGATGTATAATGTAAGAAAAACTGTCAACTTGTCAAATATCGCGTAAAAAAATCGTGTCAAAGATTATTTCTAATGTCAGCGGTTGCCCACAGCACAAAAGCAGTATACGCCACTGTACTGAAATATTTGAAAACAACAAACTGCACAATCCATAGAAAAAGCGAGAGTGACCCCCACTGGGAACCACATTAGTAGCCACTCACGATTACACCACTTCCCGCGCACCAACCGTGACATGTGTCCACGACTCCTGCTGGGGATCTGTTGTTTTCGGATCCGGCCCGAAAATTGTAAGGGATTTCCACAACCGTGTTTTTGCGTGTTTTAGCGCTACGATCGTATTGGGTAGAACGGTAATTAAACCAACTCCCCGTAGATGGATCTATCTACGTGGCATTGATTAAATATCCACTTTTTCTCCCACGATTATGGCGACACTTTATTGACATCTCTACATTCAACACTGAGTTAATTGCGCGGCAGCTCCTTGAAGTTATGGTGGTATTGGTGCTCCTTTGAACTTATTCATAAGAAGTAAAGCGTTTCCTCTGTATTACTGTATTTTAATAATATATTTCTAACACTATTAATAAAAATACGTACATTATTACCTTGTAACTTATTCAATTTCAAGAACTTCAAGTGAATAAGGAGAAAACCAGAACTGTGAAGAATGCTAGAGAATGAAAGCACATCCATATTCGACTTCTCACGTATGTTGTCAAGCGTGCAAATACCGATTTTCAAATTAATGTGAGGAATAACTTATTTTTATTAAATTTAACTAACACATTATTCATAAAAACATACAAAACAGTCGCCTTTTAATGTTCACATAGTTCGCTTGCAATATGATTCATAGAGCCATTGCAGAAGTAGAATTGAACACAAATCAGATCGAGTTTGTGGAGTATTAACTCTTCAAAATTACGAAACACAAATATGGAAGTGTAAAGCAAATTCGAGGAAGAATCAAGTGTAGTTTTAAAAGATTTTGCGACAAAATGTTCGGAACTAATTGAGAATATTATATTAGGATTAGAGAATAATGCTGAAAAACACCTTCCAGTTAATGTGAATCTCTGTGCATATTAGCAAAAAAGCGTGTAAAGTGAAGCTGTACTAAATTGCAACTATTCACATAATTCATTCGTGTAAGAATACTGACACCCCTTCAAGCCAACCTCCTAAATTTGCACCCAAAACAGGTCGTCTAAATTGAAGGGGTGGTTGCATGAAGGGTGTACATTTATCAAATCTTCATTCTGAGCATGGACGCAAACGCATACATTCATGTACTCTGTATTTATTGATTTATTAAATAAAAACTGTACAAAATATACAACTAACATTACTACCCAAGATTGTATATATCATTGTCTATATTATACAACTGAACTATTGTATATATAATAGTCTTATATTCTTTATTTGTCTTGAGCATAAAATCTGATATAGTGGTATATTTAAATTTCTTCACACGTTCAGACAATATTTTCATATTATTATCTCACCTAACATATTCATTAACTAGTTATTTTTCGTTTCATTAGACAATAATACAATGCCTGTGCTTTCTAATACTGGAGAGTACATTAGGTAATAAGGGTTCGACCTGAAACCTATCACTTTCTTCGACACTTTTTCATCGTTGTCGGAGGAGCTAACTTCTGTAACGACGTCATCCCAAGGTTCATTGCCATTGAAAGCGCCGACCCGCTCGTCTACGCTATCATTATCAACATCAACATTGCTGACTTCAGCCACATCCGCGATGACTTTTACATTAATGTCATGCACTGTTTTTCAGGCAAGTTAGCATTTCCGAATCCGCATTTTATAAAACAATTTCTTGTTTCAGATTTTTCATTCGAAGCATTTACACTCCACTCACAGAATCGAATATTGTAGTAGATTTTGCTAATTCATAAACTGTTATGGCATCATTCACTCTAGCAACTAATGATCTCAATAGTTTTTTTCCTATACAAGATTTAGAACATACAAATTACTCCCTGATCCCGGGCTTGCAATCAAGATGTATGTGGCGAATAGAATTTTATTTCTACATTTGTAATATTTTCCTAGTAATGATATGCACTACCAATGACCAGTAAAATCTTCCTGTTTGTACCTTGCACTTTCCTGTGCAGTGTGTGCTTCCGTGAACGAAAACTGTCTCACTTCATCCATGCTTTTTTGTTTGCGTATAAGAATGTTTCTAAACGTAATGTCATTTTTGAAACATCGTAGACACGGAGGTGTGTGGATAACAATAGGTGTATCCTTTCCCCCCGAACATATTAGCGCATAACGCAATTTGTTAGACTCTGCTTTGCTAATTTTCAACCGTTGCACATGTCTTTCACTGCAAGCGTTCTCTCAGGTTTTGCTTTAAATAGATCATCCATTGATGAAGATGCCACATGGGGCGTATCTTTTTTTGGAACATTGGCCCACATATAAGGAAGCCTTTTGAATGAGCGCGATTAAACCATTCTAAATGAATCTGACGCTTACCACACTTAAACAGCTTAGATCTCTCTGTGATTTTCCCTTCCCCCCCCCCTTCGAGTCTAGAGAGAAAGGATTGTGTTTCTTTTTGCGATTGATATTTGCCAGGATGAAATAAAAAGTTACGCGACAATAGACGTTCATATTGCACTCCTTTCATACTCAGCGACAACACTACACAGCAAAAGCATGTTCAGTGCTGGATTGTATTGCTAACTGAAGTAGAAATCGTCGAACCTGCCTCCAATGCCATTCTGAGAAAAAGTAAGGTTAGAAATCAGAGGCGGAACGCCGCACCGCGAGAGAAACGGCGTGGGCCATCGCCGGTTGCCACGAGGGTTGGAAGTGGTAGCAAGAAGAAAGCGACACATTGAAAAACATTTCTCGAAACTTGGGTAAAAGACGTCGTCTTAAAGGGGAAAGAGTGAACTGAAAATCTTACTATTTACTATTTTCAGCTTCTATTCTTGGCCCGAGCAGTGTAATGAGATTATTCTAATTCTAATTATTAAAATTACATATACAAATCAAAATAATGTTTTATGAAACAATCATTTTTTAAATTGATGAAAATCAAAAAAATGTTATTTGCACTCTACACCCCAGGCGACTGGAGCAGATACCTTTTCCATGGTGCGCTGAGGCCATGGAACGAAGTTGCAACGCCACGGCAGGAAATGGAGTCTTGCGCGGGAGAGTGATGATAGGTGCGAGATCACTTGCGCTCCCTGAGGCTGCGATGAGCGCGCGAATTCGAAGAGCACTGACCCACGACGCAGCACCAGCGCAGGGCCATTGCTAGTCTGGGCTTTAGGAAGCTCAGGATAGCGGAGTGTCGACGCGCATCGAGTGCCGATGCGGCGAGATGGACACGGTTACCGCCCTAAGTTACTAGCGAGTATGCGAATGATGCCGTTAAATTGTGCGAGTTCGGCGTTCATTGAGGGGCAATCTGTAGCTCTAATTAACTTCATAATATTGACACCGCTGCGGAGCGCATAACGTCTTAGAGCCTCATAACACCGCCCGAGTGCCGATCGCGAGAGAAGATCACAAGTTTGAGTTCAAATACAGTGAGCGTAGCAATTTGAAGCGTTCTAAGCGCATCAATGCGAACGCACAGAGGGGGGCTGGCAGGGCGCCGTGGCTCTCCTGGAAATGTCGAAAGGGCCCCGTAAATCTGTAAAATTTACGTAATATGTGCAATCGCTTTATTTTCTTTTATTTAAGCTGGCAATTCGGGCAAATGATACACAGAATTTAGAAAAGACGATCTGCAAACCAAATCCATACACGGTATCGTTATAGGCGTCCGCGGCCAGTCATGAACTGGGCTGTACGGGTGACGCCGCGTCGAAGGTTAAGGGGCCGACATTTCGCTAGGCACACTACAGCCCTGAAGAAGGCCAAGAAGGCCAAGTAGGCACCTCAGCCTTCGTTGCGGCGTCACCCAGACTGCCCAGATCACAACAATCAGATCAACGATTCGACACGGGATCGATGGTATTTATTAATTATTTGATTAATGTTTGAATTTCATTCCCCTCGTTTGTTTTATTTACTTACTAGTAGAGCATGACGTATGTAAGCAAAAAAGTTAAATGGGAAAGAAGGCCGAGAACTATTATGCAGCGCATGCCTATGTTGTGGGGCATATCACATGAACAACGCGAGGACTGAGCACATTGACAGCAGGAGCATAGATGAGCACACGCGACGATAAGAAGCAGAGCGGAGACAAGAGAGAACATCGAAACAAATATTGTGAGGGAGCGCGGAACGCGATGAGTTTTAGATGCATAAGATTTTTTTTCATTTTCCCTCTCTAGTTGCTCTAGAGGCGGGAATTTTTTTTTCTTCGGGGTACAATAATTGCAGCCGATAAGTCTTCTGCAGCTTACGAGGGCATTATCTTAAATATACGAACTAAAATGAACTTACAACTAATTACATTGTCACTTTGGGCTATGTTAGTTATATAAAACTATTTATTTTTAGTTCTTCAAAAATATTATTTTTGTTCTTTTATTGTTCATTCTCACACGCATTCATACTTCATTCATTCATCCGTTCAAACACACATCACATCTCAAATATTAATTGGATTTAGTAAATTTTGGGAAAATTAAGATTTTTTAAAAATAAGGCAGATATATAATATAGGGCATTGTTGATAGGGGACAAAACACGCTCGATGCTTGCTTACGGTGCGACAAAAGCGCATCGAGGAAGAAATATAACAATAAAAAAAGTGAACCGGTTAGGCCAGATAGAAGGTTTGAGCGACAATTTTAGTGAGAATGATGACAGATTTGATAGGGTGAGGATCGATAGCCGTCAAGGCATTGCGTAGAATTCGTGATCAGTAGAGCTATGCTGAATGTGACATTAATATAGCTAGATTTGGAACAATAACTGTCAACTGATTTCACGAAAAGTCTTCAGTAGCCAGTGAGGGATCGCCCCTTCGGAGGGGTTTGTACAACGCTAATTTTAAATTCCGACCCGATTGCCCCGCCCGCGTTTCTGACAAGCCCTGCCTCCCGCGCCGGCAGGGTACGGCCTGTTCAACGTGGCGCTGCTGCTGAGCGGCGTGCTGTCGGCGCTCAGCCACCAGGGCAACACGGCCATGCTGTCGTACCTGCTGCCGGCGGCTGAGTGCGACCTGGGGCTGACGCCCGCCACCAAGGGCGTGCTGGCCGCCACGCCCTACGCCGGCATGCTGTGCAGCGCTCTCACCTGGGGCTTCCTCTCCGACACGGTGGGGCGCCGCCGCCTGCTCGTCGCGCTCTACCTCCTGGACGGCGCCGTCAACCTCGCGTCCAGCCTCACGCAGGCCTTCTGGCTGCTGCTGCTGCTGCGCTTCGTCGGCGGCTTCATGTGAGGCCGCTCTCTGCCCCATCCACGCTTCCCTCTGAGACACGCACTTTGACCTGCATTCCTTTTGCTCGCGGAGGAGAAGTTCCTTTTTCCTCGCCCAGAGATGATGCAGAGTAAGAAACAATTCAGCTAGACGATCGTTTCCCAGAGAGGACAAAATGTCTCCGATTCTCATATTTTTCTTGTAAGACATCTAGTTGGAAAGTCTATAAAGCACTTATTTACGTTGCCTAAGGATCCAAAGCAGCACCGTTATAGACCGTTTTGCGCGACATATTTTTGCAAAATGATGTTGATTTCCTTGCAGCTCGACATGCAAGACTTCGCGAAGTCTAAATTAACATAAGTTGTCTAACAAGTTTTATCAATGTTTTAAAACTTTCATACAACTATTTTACTTACATTTTTTCTTTTTAATTTTGTAAAAAACATCCGCAAAAATTGAAACCTGGGGCTTTACATTTTAAATCCATTTCCAAGCTAAACCTCAGATAACCAATGTTCGGTGTACATCTCCCAATGCTAAGTGTACATATCAAAATAAAGGCATATACAAGAAAATCTGCTTCGGCATCACTGAAGCATGGAAGATCGTTCAAATAGGAGCCGAAGACTGTGGGTTCGAGTCTCGCTTAAGGCATGTGTACTCTCACCATGTGACTATGACTTATTTATTTATTGATTACGTTTCAAGCAAATCAACTAATAAGGTCATTAGTCCCGTTTGTGTAGTGAACATTTTATCCCGAGAGGTGGCGGTGATTCCTTTCCCTGTTGGATGATGCGATTCAGTGTATACTGCACGTCGGCTTGCCAGGTTTTCCTATCCAGGTGTCTCCCAGCAGCCTGATACCGTCCCAGCCGGGACAAGCTTCAGGCCCCAGACTAGTCTCCCGACATGTGAAATAGTGTAGGGTAGATACGTGTGTGTGAAAGTAAGGAATGAGGATAGGACAAGGAGGAAAGAAAGCTAATGTAATGTCGTCAAAGGGGTAAATCTGGAGAGGTGTTAAACACAATGCGGAATGAGCAGCTCTCTCTGAAATAGCTCACCGTACTAATTATGGACGATGAGGAGTGTCATACTCATTTCTAGAAAGAAGAGGTAGAGGGGTATCTTAAGGTTTTTTGATTTTCTTTTCCCGATAGATGGCCTTAATGGCGGCTTGTCGTTGCTTCCCTCTGTATGTTTGAAGAACCCTCACAGTCTTTTGAGAGATGGCCATTTATGGGCAGAATTGGTAAGGTGATACTTGAGGATTTAGAACTCTTAAAGCAATAAGTGATTGCTTCAAATAAGTGGTCACAAATGAAAGAGTTTTCAGAAATCCTTATGAGGGCTTCCAAAAGTGATCGAAAACTTTGCAACGGGCCATCAGCATCACCTGCTTTGTTGGTTGACTTCCCAGAGAGTGTACACGCCCTACATGTTCCGCGCAAAGAGCGGCTAAGAAGAACGACATGGCTTGTGCGCTTCTAAACCGTTCGCCAGCACACACCCGGTAGATTTTCCATTTCATCGTATTCCTTTTTGTAATACATATAATATAAAGGTTATAAAACTAAATATTCTGAGAAATCATTGACTTTTTTGCAAAGCCGATGTGAGCGCCGCGTAAGTCTGTAACCTAAACTGGTAAAGATATAACCGAACTTAAGGGAGCGGGAGACCCCATATGCGATTGAGTAAGTTCTGCCCCATAAGTTGGAGGTCATTTTGAATGCGATGATACGCAGGTGGTAATATGTAAGACTAGCCCGGCGTCAGTCACATGGTAAGAACACGCATGAGCTCCACGGAACTCTAGTCCTCACCTTGCAGCTCGAGAACATAGAGGATGCAACGCCTTGCGCCGTCGAATCCCTCTTATGGTGTTACTTCTTACATAATTCTATTATGACTGTGGATGGTACTACCTAAAACTTAATACATGGCCGTAGTGCCTTCGTTGTCGTGGTGAAAGCATATTGATCTAGTGAAATATTAAGTAGTAGGCGTAGTATTTCTTTCCAACAGCCGTGTGATATGCAATCCCCTTACTCATGTGTCAATCCACCCTGAACGTAAAATGCGCATCAGAACATCAAAGTGCGTAAAACGAATTAACTACTAAAGAAAAAAACTTGCTTCTCATATAATATTAACATTTTTTTCTCACACAGAGAAGTGCTACCGTAGTCCATTATATTTATTTGATACGTTACTTGTCCATCATCCATACACGATTAATAGGAAATTATGTTTTTGTGGACTCTTCTGTACAGTCGAATTTCCCTATTCCTAGCACGGAGAGACAAATAAATGTAATCTTTGACAATGAATCCACAGTTTCACATTTTGCCCAAGTCTGCAAAACTATTTACTTCTCTTCACATTCAATTCAAAAGTCTGCCAGTTCTTAAAAGATACAATTCCCTTCAATTTTTTTCGCGAATTAGATGTCTGAGAATATTAATTTCGTTTCTGAAACTCCCATTCTCATTATTGCGTTAATGGAAGCCCATCCCCGTCTGTTGCCGACTGTAAAGTGCAAGCCTGTTGAAAGCTCCCTCCGCCGGCTGCGCAGCATCAGCGGGCCGATGGCCATCCAGAAGACGTTCCTGTCCGAGTTCCACTCGTCGGGCCACCGCTCGCGCGTTATGATGTGGACGGGCGTGTTCGTGGCGGTGGCCAACGTCTTCTTCCCGGCCCTGGCATGGGGCGTGCTGCCGCTGGCGCTCGACTGGCGCCCGCTGCCGGGCTTCACCTTCAACTCGTGGCGCCTGTTCGTGGCGCTGAGCGCGCTGCCGGGGCTGGCCGCCGGCCTGGCCGTGTGGCTCTGCAGCGAGAGCCCCAAGTACCTGCTGGCGGCCGGGCGCGGCGACGAGGCGCTGTGCGTGCTGCGGCGCATGTACCACTGGAACACGGGCGCCGACCCCTCCACCTTCCCGGTGAGCCCCGCCACGCACCCCCCGCCCTCACGCGGCTCAAGTCTCCGAGCATCGCCAGGCCGCAAAATGCCTAATAACGGACGCGATTAAAATGTGTAAGCCCAGGTTTTTTAGTCAACCAAGTCCGTTATTTATAATTCAATACGTTTTGTAACACCATATTCTATTTACAAAGGAAAAGGGAAAAAACTTCTCTTGAAATAGGAATACTCACGCCCTCTTTAGCTGCAACTCATTGGTTTTCAATGTTCTTATTAATAAGAGATGAGAGAGGTGTTTCGTTTGTATGTTTAGTTACGTCAAGTCGACATAAGGTGTAGTATTTCGAACAGTTTCTAGCAGGCCTTTCTATTTTCAATGTGGGCTTTTGTAGGTTTCTGTCATTTGATGGCAGCTCGTGTGTGTGTCAGATCCGCCGGACTTCCTCGCCCCTCCGTACGTTTCGTTCTCTCCATTACAAACCCGCTTTCCTTTCCTCCGTGTGAGGCAGGTGCGGCGTCTGCGCGCGGAGGCGGGCGCGCCGGCGCTGACGTCGGCCGCTGCCCTCAAGAGCTCGCCGCTGCGCGCGCTGCGCCTGGGCTGGCGCCAGGTGCGCCCGCTCTTCCGCCGACCGCACCGCCCGCGCGCGCTGCTCGTCTTCGCCATCCAGTTCTGCACGCTGCTCGGGTGAGCCACTCCTCTCGCGCACTCTCTTCGCTCGCAACACGCCAGCACCACTCGCCCTTTTACACCCGTCCGCGCTGAGGCTCGCCGACTGGCCCAGCCACTGGCGCGCTCGGTCGCGCCGACCGAAGCGTGACGGCTCCGCTCAGCCCGACCTCAGCGCCCTCCCGTGAGCGGTGCGCGTGTTTAATAATAATATATTTATTTTGGCCACAATTGGCGTCTTTGCCAGGTGGTAGCCAATTAATTTCACGAATGCGAAAAATAATGGCGCAAAATTAGGATGGCTGTATGGAAGCCCACTGGGTTTTCGTAATCCATTTTTCATGCGAGAGCCAAACTATTTTTCTACATGTCAAGATATCGCTGACGCACTTGACCGTGGACACCGGACGGATGCAATCGTAAATAGACTCTCTAAAGCGTTCGATCTTGTTACACATGACATTTTAATTTTAAGAAATTGCAGATATCCGTTATCGACGTTAGGGGTCGTTAAGTGGATTCATGAATTCCTAGATGAGCGGTCGCAGCAAGTCCGAGTTGGACCGAAGTACTATCTGGCGAATGGCAAAAATTACACTGAGTTCCTCAGGGAAGTGTCTGGGACCTTGTTATTATAGCCTTTATCAACGATCTATCCACTTCTATTGATTCGTAATGCGCCTTTTTGGCCGACGATTGCTTATTTACCGGGATAATAGACAATCATCTGAAGATGAAGTGCCTGCAACAGGATCTAAATAAAATATACAAAATCATGGCTAAAGTCAACAAAATGGAATAATGCCGACAAAAGTAAGCACTATCAGTTTCCAAAATCTATACGTAAGAATCCTTTGAAATTATTCATGAACGGCAACATTGATCCCCGAGGTAATAGTTGTAAATTACTTAGGAATAATTTGCGTTGCGACTTTAGGGAATGGGGGAAACATACA